GAAGGCGGTGCGCCGCCAACGAAAGCAGAAACACCTCGCGCAATCAAGGCGACGTGGGCGTTGGGCCGCCAAATGCGATGACAAACTCGGGCGAAGCATGCGCCGCGGGCGGTGCACCGCCAACGCGAAAGAAACGCATCGCGCAATCACGGGGACGTGGGCGGTGTACCGCCAAATTCGATGACGAATTCGGATGAAACGTGCTGCGTGGGCGGTGCTCCGCCGATGCGTGAAGAAACGATTCGCGCAATCAAGGGAACGTGGGCGGTGCACCGCCAACGCGACGAAACTTCAATCAACATGTGCAAAACGTACAAATTGCAATACGCGGGCAAAACATAGCGATGGGCGGTGCGCCGCCAATGCGATAAAACTGCTCAGAATTTGCAAGACGTGGGCGGTGGGCCGCCGAAACGAATCACATCAGAACGCGCCGCGATGAGAAGTGCGGGCGGTGTGCCGCCAATGCGCATGGCATCCCCTCCCGATCCCCCCCCGCCATTCCCGCCCCCTCTCTCCTACCCCCCAGGCTGCGCGGGTTGAGCTCGGTGATGAACGGCCTTCTCGGTCGCCTGGCGCCTGGCGAAACACTGTGCTGAAGAAAACCTGCGCGTTTTTCGGTGTCCGACCCCCTTTTCAAAAAGCAGACGAAAAAAGCAGACTTATCGGACTTAAACTTATCTTATTTATAAGTATAACTACAAGTAACTTATAAGTATGGCAATTGGGTGCACACAAGTAACATATGTTATACATGTGATTTAAGTATATATGTTAATGAATTAAGTTAGATGTGGATGGTAGTTGCAGGATCTTAACATATCTCACTACAAGTGATTTCAAGTTACTTACAAATAACTTCGTATATAATTGAAGTAACTTATAAGTGACTTCATCTGACATAGATCTCATATGTCAACGCCATCACCAAAGTACACGCAAAATGTAGCAAGAGGAATAAGAGGACGCCCTGACTTCTGACGCGCCGTTTCCGTGACATTGTTTCGGGCCCCTGGGAGGGCGCTTTCTGGTCTGAGTTGTCCCTCGCCGAGAGCTTTCCGGAGGGCGTCCTAAATGCGTGCCCCGGGTGTTCGTTCTTCCGAGTCCGGGGAAGGCGACCTTCGGGAGGCGCGCCGGCCTCCGTTTCCAGAGACTCTGGGGGGCGGGCGTCTGGTCTCCAGGCAGGGGTCGAAAGGGTTCGGGGTGGCCTGCCCCTCGCAGGTGCGGGGTATTGAGGTGGCGGCCCACCTCGAACCCCTTAGGATCGACCGTATCCTGTTCTTTTCCTCTCTCCTCCCCTTCCCTTCCCGTCCCCCTCCTTCCCTCCCCTGTCCGTCGTCGTGGTCGTCGTGTCAGGTCCTTGCCATTTGGGCTCCAATCTCAGTCGCCGCCACCCCAGGATGGACAAGACCGCGCTTCCGCAGGCGGGGCGTGCCAAGCGGTCTGCTGGTCGAGCGCCAGCCCTGGGGCAGGCTGCTCTGCCGCTGCGGTACGACCTGCGTGTCCCGTTGGCGGGGCTTACGGCCGCGGCAGAGGCGGCGGAGCCTGCTGTCGAGGGCGGGGGCGGCGCGGGCGACTTCTGGTCGGAACTGCTTGCCTCTCGGTCGGCAGCATTGTCCACTGCTGGGTGCGCCTCGGCGGCGAGGGCCCCGGTGGGTCCACGGTCGCCTCCGGGCAGATTGAGATCACGGTCGAGGCCCAGAGGTCGTTCCCAGTCGCCCGCACCCTTGCGCGGCGACCATCCTCGCTTGCCTCCGACACCAGGGGGGCCGGCGCCTCGCGGAGACATCCGGGTGGCCAGGGAGATCCTCAGTGACGCGTCGAAACGCACGGAGGCGCTTGAACGTCTGCGCTTGGACTTCTACGCCTCGAACACATGGGAGGTGAAGTCGCGCAAACGATGTGCTGTGGAAGGGCTTGCTCGTCTGGCGACGCCTGGTGAGCCGATCTACCCATTGTCTGCTCTCCGGGTGGAGTTCGTTGCAGCGGCTTTGAAGGCGTCGGATTTCCGCTCTGGCCAGTCGTATCTTGGTGAGCTGAGGCAAGGACATATTGAGCAGGGCGCGGCCATCCCCGCTTCATTGGCACTAGTCTTCAGAAGGTGCCGCGACTCTTTGGAGCGAGGGTTGGGCCCGGCATCAAAGGCCGTGGAGCTGCGCTGGGACCAGATCCCCGTTGGTTGTCATGGCGATGCCGCAGCGACAGTTTCTGGGGTCGACGACCTACTGAATCTTTTCTCTTCTTATGTAGTGGCATGCGCGTGGATGTTGAGAGAGATTGAGCTGTCGGCGATAGTCGCTGCACATTTCCGGTGGGACTCGGGTCGGCGAGTCGCCTCATTATTCTTGCCGGTCAGCAAAACCGACGCGGGCGGGTGCGGGTGCACCGGGAGCCTCCGCTGCGACTGCAAGGGCGAGGGCATCTGGTGCGCCCCGTGCGCATTGAGGCGTGTAGTGGCGGGCAGGCTTCGCGAGGTGGGCGTAGATGAACAGTCGGGCGCCGCTTGGGAAGTGCATGTTTTCGTGACCTCGGGGCGCCAGGTGCCAACCAAAAGGACTGTCGTCGCCGCTTGGCAAGGCCTTGCGCCAGAGGGGCATCCCCCTCTTGGTGGCCACGCTGCCCGGAGGAGCGGAGCGAAGCGGTACGCTCGCGCCGGGGTCGCCCTCAGGTCCATCATGCACCTGGGCCGTTGGGCGTCTGCAGCTGCTCTCGGCTACGCGGAGGAAGCACTGTCGGAGCGGGCCTTCGGGGACGACGCGGCGGCGGTTGAGGCCCCCAGCGACAGGCTCGACGCGGTGGTCGCCGACCTCCAGGAACGCATCGACGCTGTCGACAAGAAGCTGGAGGCTTTGCCTTCGGCAGCTGAGCCGCTGGGTGGTCCCACTACTGTCGTGGTGGCCGCGGCGCACGCTGCCCCCGCGTCCGCCCCCGCGAGGCAATGGGTCTCGATCTGTGGGGGTCGGTGCCATGAGCGCTCCTCCGTAGCGTTGGGCATGCCGTCGTCATACTGGTCGACGGTGTGCGGGATCCGTTTTGCCGCTCGGGGGCGGTCGGGTTTCACGCTACTTGGGGAGGTTGCGGCGCGGGGCGCGGGTGCCGGCGATTGGTGCCGTCGTTGCCCTGCACCGCCGTGGTGCGAGGCAAGCGCGGCTTTGCCAGGTGGGGGTGTGGAGGCGCTTGCACGCCAGCCTGGGCCGTGATGTGCGTCTCTCCCCGTGGGGCATCCTCGCGGCCCCGTGCACGCGTCGTGCGTGCGGGCGCACCGTGGCGCGCAGCCCCCGACGTGCAAGGGAAAAATAAATCTATGCACTCTGGGCTGGGCGGGGGGGTCATGCGGCATGAGCGCGCGTGCGGGCGAGGTTGGCTTAGTAACGCAGTTACGTGCGAACCTAAGCTGCACGCTGATGCCCATGCAGATTGGGCGGCGGGGTGGGGAGTGAGGATGCAGCGAAGGCATGTGTCAAGCACTCCGTGCGTCGCCGTTTTGGGTCGAGACGCTACCCCCGCACCCTTGCCTTCCCACCCGGCCCACCCTTGGGCTTCGGGGCGTGGGTGGCGCTAGCCGCTATTGGGGCGTGCGCTAGCTGGGATTGCACGGGCGGCAGTGGCCAGGAGGTCGCCTCGAGGTTGTGGCCCAGAGGTTGCTCTGCTCTTGTGCGCCGGGATCCTTGGTACTTTTCTGCGCCATTCTGCCTTTCAGCGTCCGGCCGCGTAGTTGCGGCCGAGTGGCGGGGTGTGCGGAGGCGCTTGCACGCCAGCCTGGGCCGTGATGTGCGTCTCTCCCCGTGGGGCATCCTCGCGGCCCCGTGCGCGCGTCGTGCGCGCGGGCGCACCGTGGCGCGCAGCCCCCGACGTGCAAGGGAAAAATAAATCTATGCACTCTGGGCTGGGTGGGGGGGTCATGCGGCATGAGCGCGCGTGCGGGCGAGGTTCTGCCAGTCGTCGAGGATGCGCTGCACAGCCTGCTGCCCATTCACTGGGCGCGAGGCCCCGGACACGTCCTCCGCCATGAGGTCGCCGACGTCCTCCAGCTTCTTCCTAGCATACCTGTGCGCCTGCCTCCCACCCTTCTGAGCCGCCTGGACAACCCAAGCTCGCCACTCTCCTGCCTTGGCCGCCGCGTCGCAGGCCCTGCGCCTGTCGAGCTCCTTGCGCAGCTTCGCGAGAGGAAGCACCTCCTCCTCGGCAGCGCCAGGCACGCCGCCGCTCGGTGACCTCCACTGCCCCTGACTCTTCGGCTCTAGGCCAAGCTTGAAGCTACCCTTGGTAGCCATGGCGGGGCGCGTTGCACGGAATCTGGGCCCGGTGCTGTCTTGCTTCGAAGGACTAGGCATTTGACCCTGTCGTGAGCGACGACCGGGAGCGTCCTTTCCTCATTCCTCGGCATCCTCATGGGCCGTGCGTGGTGCACCTCTGGTATTTTTGGCCTTGTCCTGGCTTGCCGCTCGCGTGGCCGCATGGGGGGAAGACCTTCCCCGTATATCATGCTGCCCAAGTTTTGAATTTCGGCGCACTCTTTTCACTTTTCTCCCTAGCTCTTCTTGGGGATGGTCTGCAGAGGTACTGTTTCTGGTATTTCACCATGATGTCATTGTTTCAATTGCTGTGAGACACGATGTGTGCAGCAGAGCATACCACGATTCAAGACATGCCCGTTGTCAATCCCGCTGCCCTTCTCAGGCATGCTGAGGCCTGGCTTCAGCAGCATGCCCAGCGCGGCCATCGCTTGGGAGGCCTGACTGGTCTGAGCCCGGCCATCTTGTCGTGCCCTTCTCTGTTTTCATATCAGTTGGGTTCGCTACGTCGTCGGCCGCCTGTGGAATTTGGCCCGCAGCGGGCGTGCACAAAGGAACTCTCTCCGATGAGCTACACACCGCCCTGACGTTCTCGGAACTCCCCCCCGCGAGCCGATCTCTCTCCTCCTGCTCCTCCTCTTCCTCCTCCTCTTCCTCTTCTTCCTCCTCCTCCCCTCCCTTGTTCTCTTTGGGTGGGGCTCTCAGGAGCCGACCAAGACGCGCCAGAACATCCTCGGCGAGCGACACGAGGCCGCGTGGCCCAGGCACATCCGGCCTGCCCAGGGGAGGTGTTTGGGGGATGGGGGGGGGAAGACGGGAGAGCGTGAGACGGAGGGGTATTGCGGGGGATTATGGTGAGGATGAGGATGAGGATGATGAACATGAAGATGAAGGTGAATGCGATGATAGTGACAAGTAATGACGATGCTGTTGATGATGCTGCTGCTGATGATTAGGACAACTATTGTGATGATGACGCTGATGCTGCTACTGATGCTGCTGATGATGAGGATGATGCTGATTATGATGACGATGCTGGTGTTATTGATGTTGATGATGAGGTTTACTGTATGCGAATTGAGAGGAATACGCTTAGATGATGTTGATGCCATGGTTGATGGTATGGTTGATGCTGATTACGGCGACGACGATTATGATATTCGTAATACTGGTGTTAAGGGTAATAATGATGCTGATGATGCTGATGCTGATGATGCTGATGGTGATGCTGATGCTGATCATGGTGATGATATATGATACCAGTACTGATGCTGATGAGACTGATTCTGATGCTGATGGCGATGATGATGATGATGATGATGCTTATGTTGATGAATAATATGATTCGGCATACAATTATGTTGATATTGAAGGCTGTGTTGATGATGATGATGATGATGATGCTGATGGCGATGGTGGTGGTGATGATGATGATGGGACTCACGCTGATGATGACGATGCTGGTCATGATGGGCTTGATGTTGACGTTGGTGGTGATGATGCGGATGCGGTTTTGATTGAAGGAAGTACACGATTATGACGGCCACGATGACGACCACGGCGACGATGACGACCACGGTGAAGGAGGGAGGAGGATGTCTTGCCACTCCTTCCGTCTGCTTCCGTCTGCTTCCTCACTCATACTTTCTTCCTCCTTCTTGGAAGTTTCTCCCTCGTGCTCCCTTTCTTCATCTTGCCTTCTTCCTGTCTCCTCATAGACCCTGTCGCGCTCCTTGCCTTCCACCCCTTGCTTCCTGCCACCTCAGCTCTGTCTGTCCCCAACGCATCCCCTGTCCCTCTCCTCTCTCCTTCCCCCTTTCTCCCCCCGCCCTCTCCTTGCCCTACCTCTCGCACAGCCTTTCCCTTTTCGTGCCGCCTTCCCCTTTCCCCGCTCCCCCCCTCTTTCCCGTCCCTCATCCCTTCTCCTCCGCCCTCCCCCTCACGCATCCCCTTTATCGATCCTTCCCTCCCGCGGAATTCCTATTCTGGGGGACGCCCGCTTTGACATATTGCCGGTCACGGCCAGGCCAATCCCTGCCGGGCTTCGGATGGTCGGGGCCAGGATCAGATCAGGTGCACCATTTACGTCCCCCCGTCATCCCTCCGTCGGACCCCTGTCCGCCCTCGGGAGGTCCATGGAAGCCTCTGGAGGTCTTCGGGGAGGTCCCTGAAGGCCCCTGAAAGCCCCCAAGCGCTTCCAGAGGCGAGGCCCAAAGCGTCCAGAAAGCTTGATCCTCCTCCCCCCTCTCCTCTCTTTTTCTCCCCGCCTCCTATTCGTCCTCCAACATACTCTTCGTCCTCCCTCTTCACTCCTCACTCGCTCCCTCCCACCCTCCCTCCTTTCTCCTCCCCCCTTCTCCTCGTCTCCATTTCTGCCGGCTGCCTTCGCCAGGAACGACCGCCTGCCGATCCTGCCGCTCACGACGGGCCTCGTGCTCAGCGGCCGCGGTGAGTGAGACTATTTCGCGCCATTCAGCCTTCTCTCGCGCGGCCAAATTCCTCATGATGGTTGCGCAGGCGAAGCATGCGCTGCGCCGACGCAGCACCGCCGCTCTCGTGATAGAGCTGCGCTGCGCTCGCGCAGGCGGTCGTCTCGCCCGCGCGCGCGAGGCTGCGGTGCAGTCTTCTGGCGACTCGGCGGGCGTGCACTTCCCGAGCCTGGCCCCTCTCGGCTGGCGACTGAGGCCCTGGACCCTGGCCGTGCAGGGGGAGGAGGAGGAGGAGGAGGAGGAGGAGGAGGA